ACAATTCGTATACCTTTCTCCATCTTTTCTCCACAATATTTTACGCCATCCTTATCCGACTTGAAAGTGTTTTCGTCACTAAATATAACCACACTGTTCGCCCAATCAAAATTAATAAAGTCCCTAGCAAATTCTAATCGCTTTTGCTGGTGCACCACAGATAACAATATTTTCTTCGCTGGCTTTCTGCACCTTAAACCAGCAGAATGCAGGTGTCTCCGTACAGTTTGTATTGAAACATTCAGTGCTGTCACTTTAGTGTGTGTTGGCAGGAACGGATCAGCCTTGTGCCTGACTACGATGTCGTAGTGCCGAGCCGATGAATTTGCCTTTGGTTTAGGCCCACGTCGACGATGTTCAACGTCACCGGTCTCCGCATATCTGTGCACCCATAACTGCACGGATCTCCTCTGTTGATACCAAACAAATAAGTATTTAAAATACCAGGAAATACTTTACAGGAATTAAAGTTACTTAAAAATAATAATAAATATAATTAATATCTATAAATAACTTTAAATTATAAACACAATATCAACTAGATATAAATTATAAACACAATATCAACTAGATAGAATATCAACGTAGTATATTATTTACTCACCGATATCATTAAACGCCTTGCAATTTCAATTATTGGTATGTTTTGCTCATGCAAAACAATGATTTCAGCCTTTTTAAATGTTGATAGGTGTTGGAACATCTTGTAAAAATAAAAATAACTTTGCACTCGAATATGAGTAGCGTAGCAATAAACTATGAAATCCTCATACATTTGACAACTAAGAACGCAATTATTTTGTAAGTCGGGTGATTTGAAAAACTTGTTTTATATAGTCGGTAGTTTCTTCATAAGCGGGTAAAATAAAATTCCATGGTCGCCACAAACATTACAAATATACTCAGGTATCCAACCATTAAGAAAGCATAGTTATTACTTTTTTACTGTTTTTTATCTTATTTAAGTTGGTTGAAATGCATGAAGCAAATGAGATTATTCTAAATAATAAATAGCTAGAACTAAATATAAATAAAAGATATTATAGGTATAAATAAATCTAAAGTATTTACTATTAAAATTAACATAAGATTTAGAAAAATAGGATAAGAAAAAAAAGAAAAGATTTAATTGTTTCAAATTTCAAATATTTGATAAATTAATACTAATACAACATGTGAATGCCGGAATCGATCCGGCGGCACATTACTTGACGACAACTGGAGGCGATAACCATTGCGCCAAGCGCGCTGTAGATGAGATCATCGAAATATTGTATATCATTCAGTAACATAAAAATACGATGAGAAAACACTATATTTATATGGGTATTGTATAGCTCGATCGTTCATTATTTGATTTCGATTTATTCAAAGTTTGTTATGAGTATTTTTATCTTTACCCTCGTTTTTATTTAAACTTATTTACTAAATTATTACGTATACCGACACAAAAATGATATTTAAATACCAAGATGTGTGTGATTGACGAATGTTTCTATACATATCTATTAATATGAAATTACCCACACATGTATATTGTGTAAATGATAGTAGTGTCGATGTGTGCTGCGAACTAATTAGCGGTGTTTTGTGTACCTACTAAAAAAAAATATTAAAATTACGGACTGTACTAATTGCAGAGCGTTCATAGAGTCGTCATTTACACAGTTACTGCGCGGAAACCAAACACATTAACGTTTTTCTGTTTACATTGTTGATTCAAATAAACATTGATCTGTGCCCAAATGATTCAGGCTTTCTGTTTTATTTCATTATCTTGATACAAATCAAAATAATAGGTTCTTTTTATGTACTGTACTAAATGTTACGTTGTAACATCTTCATGGACTATTTAACGCCATCGTAAACTTATAATTGAAGACACAGCGTCTTGATTACGTCATAATCATATCATTAGGCCTTCAAATGAAATCTGTATGTCAAATAATTAGTTTTTATGAGTTTAGGAAAACACAGAGTTTAATTATCCATTACAATAGATGGGAAATGTTTGTTATAATTAACTCTTTGGTATAATTTCCAATATTTTATTAAATTGAATCATGTTGGGTTATAGTTCCTTGTTAGAGTGCCTTGTTGTTATTTGGTACTATTGTTCCAGGTTGATATTATCTGTCTATTTTATCACAAAACAAAAACAAACTTTCTGCTCTTTTTCTCAGAGCTGATTTTAATTTCAGCCAAAAGATATCCACTGTTGATCATAGGCACCCAGTGACTTCTAGACTGAGTTCACTTGAAGGCAATCTGCGAACCATTTGTGAATCAAACCAGTTGCCCAGCCACCACACCAACCGTGCCGTCAAAAGGATAGGTTTAAAATCAAAGACTTCTCCTGCCTTGTGTGCGGTGAGAAAGAATGTCAGACTCTTACTGATTAAAAACCACCCCGTTCCTACTTCTGCTCTTCGAGTCAGAGCCCCGGCAACCCATTAGGTCTTTCGAGGCTCCGTATCATCATTAGCCCCTATCATTTGCTCAATCTACGAGCCATCTGTGGTCAATACACAAGACTTAGATCTAACTTTAACAGTATATTATTTTGTATTCTTCCACTCATTCCGAAAAAATGTCACAAAAGTTAGACTTCCCATATAAATATGAACGAAGTGCTCAATCCTTTCGTTCAATAACAATTTCCTAATGAATTCCTGTTAATTAATTGTTCTCGGCTACCGCATGCTTGCATTAATAGTTAAACTCAGTTTCAGGGAACTTTTCCAATTAAGCGTAAAGAAAAGTTTTCCTTAACCTGGATGTACAAGTGAGTGGGTTTCTTAATATTCTGAGTTTTACTTCAGTTGATTGATCGGTATGTAGGGATTTTCGTACTCCGTTCATATTGACTGCGTATAAATTGACTTGTTTATTACTGCCTCGTTGGCCGAGTGGTCGCAAGTGGTCGGGTAAATTTGTATTTTATCTTTCGTGAGACATCCTTACTAATATTATAAATCGGAAAGTGAGTTTGTTTGTTCTGCTTTCACGCCGTAACTACTAAACCGATTGCTTTGAATTTTTGCAAACGTAAAGTTGGAAGTCTGGATTAAATAATAGGGTACTTTTTATCCCGGAAAAATTTGATATTCCCAAGGGAAAACGAAAGTATTGGTATAGATGGCGCTGTGGTGCATATACCAATACATGGTATACATATGTCGCATAGACTACTTTATATCCTTTTGTGACGCGAGCGAAGCCGCGGGTAAAAGCTAGTACTTAATAAATTATATTTATTTATTTATTTATTTATTTATTTATTTATGTACACACATACAATATAAAGGACAACACATACATAAAATTAAAGTACAAAGGTACCACATATTCCTATTGGAATTTCTTCCTGTGGACCTGGAGCAGGAAAAGTAATAATAATATAATGACACAGTGTGTAGTAACAAATAGAAAATTGGGATAGGAAACAGACTTAAAACTAACAGATAAATAACCAAACAACTACATACAATACATAAATAAATACATACAAAATATAAACTATACATATAAATGAAGAAATTTACATATCAGGAGGAAAGGTAGTGTTCTCTCACTCGTTTTTTAAAGATAGCGATAGACTCAGCGTCCCGAATGTTAGGCGGGAGCGCATTCCACAGTCTCACTGCATGAACGGAAAAGGAGTAGGAATAAAAATCGGTATTATGGGGTTGGATTTTAAGATTAGATTTAAGGTGTGAACGAGATAGGACTTCAGGAGGACGAACCAAGGAGAAACGGTCCCGAAGGTAAGCAGGATAGGCAGGGTTGAAGAGGATGTTATATAGGAAGCATAAAATGCGAGTGTTCCTGCGAAGACGGATCGGAAGCCACTTGAGCCTATTGCGGAATACGGAAACATGGTCGTACTTTCTTAAACCAAAGACAAAGCGGATACAAACATTTTGCAATCGCTCAAGTTTATTTAAAAGCTCCTCTGTAGCATCCAAATAGCAAGCATCCGCGTAGTCAATCAGAGGCAGGATTAGCGCTTGGACGAGGTGAATCTTAGTCTTCACAGGCAACAGGGTCTGGAGGCGCCTCAGGGAATGAATGGAGAAATAAACCTTCCGACTAACCTCGTTCACCTGGACAGTCCAGGACAAATTTGAGTCGATATGCACTCCCAAGTTCTTTGCAGAATCAGTGAATGGAATCACAGTGCCATTCAGACGCAATGGAACAAGACCAGAGACGTCGAGAGCGTTACGATAATATCTGCTTCCGATAACCATGGCCTGAGACTTGAGAGGATTGATTTGCAGGCCAAAACATCTGGCCCACTCTGCAACTCCACCCAAGTCACGATTCATGGCATCGAAAGCAGAATGAGCTTCAGATATGTTGAAGTGACGGTATAACTGCAAGTCGTCTGCATAGAGATGGAAATTAGAAGAGATCACCCTGGCAACGGTGTTAATGAAGACGGAGAAAAGGACAGGAGAAAGGACGCCACCCTGGGGAACGCCAGCCGCAAGGTCACACCAATCGGAAAAGGTTTCCTCTAGGTGGACCCGCTGACGGCGACCCCGAAGATAGGATTCAAACCAGGCCAGAGAGGAAGGTGAGAAATTATTGGCCTTCAGGACCCCCAATAGAATGTCAAAGTCCACAGAGTTGAAGGCCGAGCTGAAGTCCAGCAACACAAGAATAGTGAGGAATTTATTGTCCATAGCCAAGCGAATGTCATCAGTCACCTTGAGTAGAGCTGTGACAGTGCTGTGGCCAGGGCGAAATCCAGATTGAACCCTAAACCTCGTTATTTAAATCGGCGTAGTTACGGGCGGCTGGATCTGGAGGCGTTACAGCATGATGTCCGCCTGATTAACTGGAGTTCTGTGGTTGATGCTGACGATGTTAATGTGAAAGTTAATCTTTTCAATGCAATAATTGTCGACTTGTTTAATAGGCACGCGCCGGTGCGTCGCGTGAGGGTTAGGCACGATCCGGCACCTTGGATTACGTCTGCCATTACGGATGCGATGGCTCGGAGGGATAGGGCCAAACGGAGGTGGAGGCGTAGGACTACAGACGAAAATCTTGTTTCCTATAAGAATCTACGCAATCGCTGCAGTCGTCTGTGTAGGGAGGCTAAGAGACGGTACTTTGATGATAACTTGGCTAACCACAATTTTGCTGATGCTTGGAAGTTTCTGCGGTCCGTGGGTATCGGCAAGTCCCCTGTCATTGTCAGCAAGGATGTTGACCTTATCTCCTTAAATCACCACTTCTCCCTCTCCCCTGTTACACTTGACAGCTCAACAAAATCTAGCACTCTACTCAACCTTTCCTCTCTGCCGCTTCCCACTTGTTCTCCTTTTAATCTCTGTAGCGTGTCTGAGGACGATGTAAAAAAATCTATGCTTTCCATTAACTCCTCTGCAGTGGGTAGTGATGATTTATGTTCCCGCATGTTCATCCCCATTCTTAATCTCCTTCTTCCTATCCTTACTCACATTTTCAATTTCTCTTTATTTTCCTGCTCTTTTCCTTCGGCTTGGAAAAATGCCCACGTCATCCCTTTACCCAAAATTAATAACCCTTCTTCTCTTTCTCATTATCGACCTATATCCATCCTGCCTTTCCTCTCCAAGGTTATGGAACATATTGTTCACAAACAATTATCTTCCTTCTTATCATCTAACAGCCTCATCTCGCCTTTTCAATCTGGATTTCGCCAATATATTTTCGGCTTACTCGTGTAATTATTTGACGACGAACTCGACTAGTTTCAAACCATGCCAGAGGCTCATATTAATGAGCAGCATTTCGCGATCTGCGACGCGGCGACTGTCGCGCTGCTACTGGCTACTCGAGTGTACCGGCTCAGCGCGCCCTCTGCCGTGATTCACGCGCACTTTTTTGTGGTATCGACGACTCTGGCACACTGGTCGGGTAAAGTATTAAGGGGGTTTTTAAAAAACTCAGTAGTAACACGGAGTCTGGAATTATGCCCGGTATATGGCAATATGCTCACCCCTTATTACATGGAACTCATAACATAAATAGTACAAATTGGGTGTTACATTGTAAAGTGGTATTAAGTGCCATAATGTCCACCTCTGCCTGCCACTTCGGGGATAAAATACGTGATGTTATGTTACGTTTATCATCATTAATTCCTGTAGTAATGAAAGAGGTAGAATTTCATCCACCAGAATAGTAGATATAAAGTTACACCTAGGTATAAGAACATGAAGATATATAAACATAATGTAATAAGTAATATTAATAGCGACTTTGGAAACTGTCTTTTACTAACCATTATCCATTATTTATTTATTTATTTATTTATTTATTTATTTGGACATCCAGTTGTTGCTACATTTTTATCATTAACTTAAAATTAGGAATTAACATCTTACTGCTAATGCACAACATTTGAAGGACATCACAGCATGCGTTGAGTCGAGAACACAATATCAATTAAATTAAATATAATGTAACTTTTCTAATAAAGCTAGAAAGTATAACAAATTGTGGGGTAACCAAATGAGTAGGGTCAGCTGCGGTGACTATCAAGGCAGATATAGGTACATTTTGGTCAGTATCTTAATATATGTCCATTTATAGGTATATATACAGAACACACAAGGTCGTGGTGGCCCCGAGGTTCAAGACGCCCGCTTCTCATGCATGACAGTGCGGGTTTGAAGCCTACCAACGGTAAGTACCAATGTGACTTTTTCACTTTCTAAGATTATTTAGACACCACTGACAAACGGTAAAAAAATCATCGTGAGGAAACCTGGGCTTATAATTTCTAATTATATGTTTGAAATCGCCAACCCACATTGAGCAAGCGTGGTGAATAATGTTCAAACATTCTCCGGGTGAGAAGAGGCTTTGCTCAGCAGTGGACATATAGGCTGTATTTGTATTTCATTTATAGGATGTTTACAGAACTAAGGAAATTCAGACGTTTTTGTGTAGTAACAAAAATCGACACCGGAACCAAAATCGTAACGAAGAAAATATGTTTTTAAAATGGCCTATATTTGAATAGTTCAAATAAAACTCGTAATGGGATCATACTAAATGCGGTTATTAAGATTAAATAATACAATAAAACTATGTAGAAAACGCTTAATATATAATGTACATTTATCGCATGCCTTTATAAAAACAATGAAGGCACGCGGCGCTCACCACCCACGCATACCGCGACGTCAGTGGAAAATTACAGAATCAAATATTTTGATTTTACTTGATAGGTATAACAAAAACATTAACTTTGACAATAACTGTCTTACAATTACATTGTATGAAGCAATAGAACAATTAGAAAATTTCTGAAAGCGTTTCCGTGTTTCTATATCTATAACAAAAGGTAAAAGATGAAATAACAGGTTAGCAGTACTTCCTAACTTTGTTTCCCAATTTACTGTAGTTAAGGAAGACCTTTGACGCTACAATATGATACTTTCTAAATTTACCAACTTCACCATAATTTTATGGTAAAAAAATTTCACGAAATAACTTTCCAAAACTGAGAGCTTTTACTTTTTTTTTTTAGGGTTGAAAATCATCAAATGACTGCTCCCGCCTGGGTGAAGCGGGAGGTAGTGTCAGACTCTTACTGACTAAAAACCACGCCGTTCCTTCTCCTGCACGTCTGTAGTGGTCTGATGACTCTTTGAGGCGCGGGCGGAACACGACACGCCGTACGCTCGGGTCTGTGTCTGGTCGGACGGGGAGCCACCCATGCTCGCCGTCCGCAGACCCAAAACTGAGAGCTTACGGTTAGAATTTGTAGGATAAGAAATAATACTATAAGAAATAAAAATAATAATACCTACTCGTGTCCTAATTGTATAATTGGCAACCGGCTATCGCGCAACGTGTAGCGGGTTCGATTCCCGCACGGAACAACAATTTGTGTGATCCACAAATTGTTGTTTCGGGTCTGGGTGTCATGTGTATGTGAACTTGTATGTTTGTAAATGCACTCACGATGCAAGAGAAATCCTAGTGTGAGGCAATGTTTTATATAAAAAAAGATTATCTCGGTAACAATGTGGATAAAAGTGCAACTTTTAGGCACCAAGTTCCACATACGATATAAAAGAAGTTCCTTTTTGCATACTTTATAATTACTATCACCTCTAAACTTGCGCTGATTAAATCCTTATCAATTGTTAGAGCTACAGCAACAGAAATAGTACGCCTACCAGTCACTATAAAACGTAAACCAAACAATATATCGCATCATTATTCGACTGTAATCTCAATATAAATAGTGATCACTCAATAACATCCGATTACCAATTTAAATAAACATTGCAAGTAGGAATTTACTTTAATTTGTATTCGGAAACATCATTGCTGCTTCCATTAATATTGTTGAACGAGGATTACAAACAATCACGTGCGTCTGCAAATATGCGTCAGATTGTTTACAAGTATTCATTTCCTATCAAAAATTAAAATGAAATTATGTTAAAATGTTTTACTATTTCATATCTTCTATATTTTTTTATATAGGAAATTCATCCAGTGACATCTCTCATCCGGGTGAGGCGAGAGCGAGTGTCAGGCTCTTACAGACTAAAATCACCGCGTTCGCCGTTCGTACTCCTGTACTTTGAGCAGGAGCCCCGGTAACCCGTTCAGTCATCCGCTGCTCCGTTTTTCTTCTATACTAGGATTTAGGTATGTTTCCTGTAATACTTTTCCCGACCTGAGAATCGAACCCAAGACCCCTTGCCCGGCAGTCGCACTTCCGACCACTCGGCCAATGAGGCAGTCATAAAATATTATCAATTAAATATTCTTTTTATTATTAATTTCTGCTTTTACGCTTTTTTTTGAACGTTGCCCCACATTAGGATTGTCTCCTGTGTCGTGGGTGCGTTTACAAACATACACGTTCACATACACAATGACACCCAGACCCAGAACAACAATTTGTGGATCACACAAAGAGTTGTTCCGTCGGGGAATCGAACCCGTGACACATTGCGCGGCAGCCGATTGCCCAGCCAACGCACCAACCGTGCAGTCAAACTTTTTCTATGTAGCAAGGAACTAGATTTACATAATCACGTGTCTTTGTACATACATTATATCATAAAATTTATAGAATATTAATAAACAAAATGTAACGATTTGTTGAATTACTGCACGCCTACAACGTCTCATAACGACTATTTTTAATTAAGTGTACTTTACAACTTCAAAGCGAGGTCGCTTTTATAATTCACATAAATTAATAGAATTATTTAACAGCTGTATGTACTGAGTTCATTTTTAATGTGTTTCTTGGAGTCGCCCTGTTAGAACTTCATAATATAATATTTATTAGGCCTTTTCTTATTCTTAGCTAGGCCTTTTAACAAGGTAACTTCCGCGCAACATTTATGGGAGTAATTCGCACTCAGTTCGATACTAGTATTACTTTCAAAGTATAAGTGTGAGAGAGCCATGCTTCGGTACGAATGGGCCGACTCAACCTTACCCCCCCCCCCCCTTGGGCTCGCTGCCATCGCAGCGGTAAGTCCCCTCTTTGAGGAGTGGCTTGAGAGACGCTACGGCGTCCTCACCTACCGCCTGACGCAGGTCCTCACCGGACATGGGAGTTTCGGGAGGTACCTGTGTCTGATGGGGCGGGAGGAAACGCCCGGGTGTCATCACTGCGAGGACCGCCCTGAGGACACGGTGGAACACACGGTGGGAGAATGCCCTTCGTGGGCTGAGCACCGCCGTGTCCTCAGGGAAGTGATCGGCGATGGCGACCTCTCGCGTCCGGGCCTAGTGCAGGCCATGATGCGGAGCGAGGGGGATTGGGATGCCGTCTCCTCCTTTTGCGAAGCAGTCATGCTAGCTAAGGAGGAGGCGGGACGCGTGAGGCAGCGAAGCGCTGCCTCCTCGCAACCCAGCCATCGCGAAGGACACACCGGGCGTCGGGGATCGCGGGACGATCTCCGGCCACCGTAAGCGCGGGCCTGCGGACGGCGAGCATGGGTGGCTCCCCGTCCGACCAGAAACAGACCCGAGCGTACGGCGCGTCGCGTTCCGCGCGCGCCTCAAAGAGCCATCAGACCACCACAGATGGGGCCCAATAGGGCCGATGCCGATTCGGAGTCGCGGAGAACCTAACGGGTAACCGGGGCTCCGGCTCGACGTGCAGGAGAAGGAACGGGGTGGTTTTTAGTCAGTTAAAAACCCTCCCTCTGCAGAATCCCCCACAATCCTGAAATTCTCAACTCCTAAATTCCGAAGAGGCTAGTAACGCTCTTGTAACGCCTCTGGTGTTTTAGGTGTCTATGGGCGACGCTGATTGCTTACCATCAGGTGATCCGTCTGCTCGTTAACCAGCTTATCCCATAAAAAAATAAGTAGCTTCCAT